TATATCTCTCCCTCCCTCCCTTTCTTCCGTCCTTCCTTCCAGTCATTTAGTTATTCATTGGATTTTTGGAGACAGGGTTTCTCTTTGTAGCCCTAGCTATCCTGGAACTCACTTTGTAGACCAGGCTGGTCTTGAACTCTGTGATCTATCTGCCTCGGCCTTCCATATGCTGGGATTAAAGGCGTGTGCCACCACTACCTGAAAGGAATTGCCATTTTAATAAGCACTTCTGAATTTTTTTAATGTAGATTTTTCTAGGTTTGCCCTCGAAGAAAAACTTACTAAAAAAAAAAAGCCCTACAACTATACATTATGTACAATAAATAAATTACTTATATATTTATTTACAAAGTGCATATATGGAAAATTTCATACTACAACTAGTTTGTGACAACTTGATTTTATTACTGAGAAGTAAATTTCTTCTTCAAATGTTTAAGCATTCTGGATTTCAAGATGTACCAGATGCATTTGTCTTTGTATCCCAGATGGGTTTTTAGTACCATGAATCTAGGAAATGGCGTTTAGCTGTGTAAAATTCTAGTTTTCAACAGCTTAGCAAGTTGTGGCTTTTTTGGTTTTTTGAGACAAGGTTTCTCTGTGTATCCTTGGCTGTTCTGAAACTTACTCTGTAGACCAGGATTGACCTCTGCCTCCTGAGTGCTGGGATTAAAGAGGTGTGCACCACTACCATCCAGCAGGAAGTTTTCATATAGCCTGATACATCAAAGCATGTAACACTAACCTTCCTCCTGTATTATTGACATGGTTATGAAATGAATGATTTTTGGTTAAGAAACAAATGACTATTAAACATGTATCTAAGCAGGCAAATTGCATGGGAAAAGTTTATAGCCAAGTCCTAGTCTTAAGGTTTTTTTCATCTCTTTTTAAATTTTTGTTTTGTTAAGATAATGTTTATGGGCTGGCGAGATGGCTCAGCTGTTAAAGGTGCTTGCCGCCAAACCTGACGACTTGAGTTTGATCCCTGGAACCCACATGGTGGAAGGAAAGAACCGACGTCCGCAGGTTGTCCTCTGACCTCCACAAGTGCACTGTAGCACTTACACGCCCATACATAACACATACTCTAAACAAATAAATAATCTACTTAAAAAAAGATGTTTACTCTTCTAAACTTTTTAGAATGTCCACCATAGAATTTCACTATTTCTCCTAGATATCTTATCAAGCATAGTTTTATGTGGTTTAACTTTAATTGAAAACATAATTGTTTTTGCTATTATTTTGTAATAAATAAGGCATCTTTTTTTTCTCTTCTAGTATTGTTGTCCAGACATGATAAATAACTTTTGGGGATTGTCTAAAATAGAAATTTCAAATACAGCAAACGAAGCCAAGACTATTGATTCAGAGAAAGGAAAATTGATTATGTTAGTTAATGACTTTTACTATGGAAAACATGAAGGAGATGTTCAGGAAGAACAGAAGACTCACACAACTTTTAAGTGCTTCAGTTGTTTGAAAGTTCTCAAAAATAACATTAGGTATGTAAATATGTATTTTTACTTAATGAAAGTTGAAATACGAGAGCTGTGACCATTGTGTCTTTATCATACACTGTCTTGCCATTCCAGAGAAGCAATTCCAGGACATTCTCTTTTGTTGTGTTTCCAGATTCTCCTCTTAAATCTGCTGATTCTCTTTCTTTCATATGGCTTAAGAAAGGACAAAGATTAGTTTAATTTGGAGCAAAATGAATCTATTAGTTTTCTAGATATTTGTGTATTTTAATTTTTTTTTTTTAAGATTTATTTATTTATTATGTATACAGAAGAGGGCGCCAGATCTCATTACAGATGGTTGTGAGCCACCATGTGGTTGTTGGGAATTGAACTCAGGACCTCTGGAAGAGCAGTCGGTGCTCTTAACCTCTGAGCCATCTCTCCAGCCCGTATTTTTAATTTTCTAATGTCTCTGAATACTGTAATTTCTTCACAATACTAGAAGTACTTCTTCAAAAGTTCCCAGATTGATTTCCTCCTTACTATTACTATTTGATGCTCAAATCTTGCATTTTATGTTTATCTTTTGTTGTTGTTGTTGTTGTTGTTGTTTTGTTTTTCAAGACATGATTTCTCTGTGTAGGTTTGGAGCCTGTCCTGGAACTCACTCTGTAGACCAGGCTGGCTTCGAACTCACAGAGATCCACCTGCCTCAGCCTCCCGAGTGCTGGGATTAAAGGTGTGTGCCACCACTGCCCAGCTTATATTTATCATCTTTATAATATATATCTAATGGGAATTGACATTTTTTTAGAGATGTATTAATCACAGAAGACATGTCTATTTTAATTTCAAATTTAAATAAAAATTAGGTATTTCATTTTTAATGGAACTTAAAAATTTTTATATTAATGTTTTAAATTTTAAGAATATATTCTTGTAGAGACATATATTATAAAAATACCACCTTTGCCAGGCTTGGTGGCGCACGCCTTTAATTTCAGCACTCAGGAGGCAGAGGCAGGTGGATCTCTGGGAGTACGAGGCAGCCTAGTCTACAGAGTGAGTTCCAGGACAGGCTCCAAAGGTACATGGATAAACTCTTGTCTCAAAAAACCAAAAATAAATAAATAAATTAAATTAAATAAAAAATCTTATATAAGAATAACAAGAAGTCATCAGGCAGTGGTGGTCCACACCTTTAATCTCAGCACTTGGGAGGCAGAGGCAGGCAGATCTTTGTAAGTTTGAGTCCAGCCTGGTCTAAAGAGAGGGTTCCATGACAGCCAAAATTCCACAAAGAAACTGTCTCAAAAAAAAAAAACAAAAAATATTTAAAAGAAAGAAAAGGAAAAGAAAATATGCTACATATATACAATGGATATATACATATATACATATACAATTGTATATACATATATACAATGCTCAGCAGAGAAAAACAATGACATCATGGAATTTGCAGGCAAATGGATGGAACTAGAACATAACATCCTGAGTGAGGTAACCCAGACTCAGAAGGACAAATATTGTATGTAGTCACTCATAAGTGGATACTAGATATAAAGCATAGAACAATCAGACTGCAGCCCACAGATCCAGGGAGGCTACCTAGCAGTGAGGACCCTAGGATGACTGCAGCTTATAAGTTTTGGTGTTGCCTGATCACTGGGCAAGCTTTAGTGAAACATTTCACTATTAGGATAAGAATTTGTATCGTGTCATGCTGATGAAAGAATATGCTGGCTGTACTTTCAGGAGGGGAGGCTTAAACCTTTTTAGATTATGGATTAGCCTATAGAAAAATGTCTGCTGTAAATCAAGCAGTGAAGGGTAAGATGAATAGGAATCTCACTTACACAACTTAAGTAAAACATCGCTCTCTGAACAGATGAAGATAGGTTTCTTCTGTATCCCAGAGTCTAATCAATATTTATGTGTATAATTCAGTTAATATTTGCTTTAAAAGGGCTTATTGGGAAATGTTATCATTTTTACTATTTTCTACAGAGAAAATATTTTCCAAATTCAAATAACTCTAGATTTTGGAATTATAACCTGTTTTTATATTTAAAAAAAAAAACAAAAAACAAAAAACAAAAAAACAAAACATTTAACTGGAAAACGCTGAAGGCGACTGAACTCAATGTTGTATTTACATATCTATATCTGTGTAAAATAATGATTGTAAATGTTTGTTTAAAAAGGTGAAATGCGAATTTAACAAGAAGTTACAGATATTCAACACTGGACACAAACTCTTGTGTTACAAATAAATATTTATGCTTCTAAAAAAAGAAAATAACAAGAAGATATACTGAATGATAGTTTTCATTTATTATATACTCTAAAATTTTTATTAGGAAAGACTTTTTTACTCTTTTCAATTAAAAACTTTAAAATAAATTCATCAAAAATGTTTAAGTTTTACATTGGACACTTGCCATCTTTTTCTACCTGTATTTATTATACTTGTTTTGTTATTTTCCTTTATCCTTCTTTTAAACAATCTGATTTTTTAAAATTAATTAAGCTGTTGATAAAAATGGATTTTTCTTTTTATGTACATTTCTAAATAAATTACAGACATGAGTGTACTTTTTTTAGTTAATTTGTACTTCAGGAGTGGATGTGGGACAAATTTTGAGAGAGATGAGAATATAATAAAATCATATACAAAACTCAACTCTCAAACAAATTAAAAAGATATTGTATACAAACATACACACATCTTTTACATTTACTGACAATCTTGTGGAATTAGCAGCATTTTGTACACCAACAATTACCTCTTAGGGTCCAGAGTTCATTCATTTCTCTGCCTTCGGTGGCTTGCTGCTACAATGATGCTCACAGGTTTCTCTGAGATAATGCTTTGTACATTCCCCAAGCTCTTACACTACACTACTTCACCTCCTTCAAGAGCTAGTGGTCCCGGTGGTTTAACAGGGAAACCGTTTTGGAGGTAATTCTGAAGCAGTATTGAAGTAGAGCCCCACCACTTAGTTCCATAGTCTTACCATTACAAGATTCAGTCAGGAGATAGGTCATAAAGTGTACAAGTGTGATTCACTGTCTTCATTCCCTGCTAAATATGATAATACATGCTGCAATTTATTTAGCAGAGTGTTTTTTAAGATTAGCCCATTTAATATTCAACACGAAAAGTAACTTTTCCTAGGAATTATTTCAGGGCATTAGTTCCATAGGTTTATATTATTAGAATATTTAGAAAATTTAAACCTATTACCTTTCCTAACACAGAGGGACTGAACATTGAAAACTATTAATTAGGAAATGTAACCTTAATGGTAAATACCTCATGATCAAAGGAATTAAATACATAGTATTTTTTGCCCCAGTTTTTCTCTAAAATCTGGGAAGGCGAAGTAGCTTTTTGTTATCTTGTTTTTGTTTTTGAGATAAAAGCTTGCTATATAGCCCTGGCAGGCCCAAAACTCACAGAGATCTGCCTTTTGGCTCCCAAGTGCTAGGATAGGTATTTGTCACCATGCCTGTGGCCTTGCGGTTGTTTATAATTTCTATAATGATAAGAAACACATCAACATTTCTGTCCTGACTTGTTATTATTACAGGTTTCCATTACTGTTTTGTCTCCTATTGGGTGTCACTAAAAACAGGTCATTGTAAGAAGTTCGCCTTTTCCCCCTGTTCTCACACATTGATCGAGAACTATGCATTCCAGTTAGGTCTTATGCAGACATTAAGAGAAATAAACCAGCTAGTTAATGCGTTACTTTATATAAATATACTTTAGTGTATTTAGCTTCAAGGTGTGAGCTGAAAGTTTACTGGCTGGTGGTATTTTGCCTATATGTAAATATTTAACCAAGATTAGGGTTTTCTGTTTGTCTTTGTAGAGCTAGTATTAAAACCAAAGGAAAAAAGGGTATTTCAAAGTGTATTACAACCTGCTTTGAAGAGCTATTCTTTAGAGATAGGAAAAAGAGATAGATGGCACAGCCTTCATGATGGCTGTTGTCTGGATTGATAGCATTATCATATAGTTTCATGGTCATTTCCTTTGAACCTCCAACTGAATAATTTTATTAATAGTTGACCCAGTCAAAAAATTATTTGATCAAGTGATATTACTTTCTAATTCAGCCAAAACCTTCAGTACATTCCTTTAAATAGGTATTCCCATTTAAATCATACTGAGCTGAGGGTCATAGTTCTGCTCATAAGAAGCCTTGTAGGGATGCTGAAATAGCAAAGTGTAAAACTGAAAAATGGAGATTGCTTTCCAAAGGGTACAGTCTGCAAATTAAAATAAAGTTTATGCTAACAGTAAACAGTGTCAGTAAATAAAATGAAAAGTTCTTGTAATTGTAGGCATTAAAACTGCTATTATATGCATTTAAAAACATAGATACAAGTAAAAAATACTAGTAGCTGGAATTTATTGTGTATCTTCAAGGTCTTAAAGGATTTTCTCCATGACTAGCTGCTTTTGCTGATAGGATTCTCTTCCATTATTAAATTTTACAATGTTAATAGTAGTTCACATGGCAAAGAAGCTTGTTGTTTTATCTAAAAACAGTCAACTAAAACTTGACATTTGTAAACAAAGATGAAAAAAGGTGTCTACTTAGCCACTTCAGGTCATTATTTAAAACATGCACTTTTGTAGAGATATTGAAGATTTTGAGTAATAGTCACTAGTTATAGTGGAGTGTTTTAATTGGAGTCTTTGCACCTGTTGACAATCTTTCCAGGTTTATGAACCACATGAAACACCATTTAGAACTTGAGAAGCAGAGCAGTGAGAGCTGGGAGAAGCACACCACTTGCCAGCACTGCTACCGCCAGTTCCCCACTCCCTTTCAGCTACAGTGCCACATCGAGAGCACGCACACGCTCCTTGACTTTTCTAGTAAGTTCCAGCTGCCGTTCAGTGTCAGATGTTCCTGCCTCCGACTGCTGAAGCTGAGCAAATCTTGAGAAAATTGTTACAGAAATAAGAACAAGAAATAGACTTTGAATTTGGGGGGCAAAACTGAAAAAGTTTACTGACTCCACCTGCTTCAGTTCAATTGCCGCAGTGTGTCTCGGTATGCTACATGATTCAGGCGGGTCATTTGGTGCTGAGTCAGTAGGAAGATGAACATGCCTTTGCGGAAGTGCTAGATGAGGAGTTAGAGGAACTGACCTGCGGGGTGTGTGTGTGTGTGTGTGTGTGTGTGTGTGTGTGTGTGTGTGTGTGTGTGTGAGTGACTGCTCACGACCTCTGACTGCTGCTTCTGCAATACACTTGTTGATACTGTTATCCAAAACGAACCTTCTATTTATGTACTAAAGTGTTGTAATGACTTTCTCCCTCTGATTTATAGCCATTTGTAAAATCTGTGAGCTGTCGTTTGAAACTGAACAGATTCTTTTACAACATATGAAGGATAATCATAAACCTGGTGAAATGCCATACATCTGCCAGGTAATCCATGCTTTACAATGTTATTAACTCTTTGTTGTTTTGGTGTTCAGATTTGTAGGCATTAGATAAGTTATTAGAATTTTTTCTTTTAGTTAAGGGGCCAAACAGTAAACATTGAGTTTTAGAGTCACAGCCAGTCAACTCTCCCTTTGTGGCAAGTCAGCAATGAGAGTGAGAAAATGAATGGATATGTTTGTGTTCTAACAAAACTTTAGGGATTCTGATTTTTGAATTTCATATGATTTTCATGTGTGGTGAAATATATTGGTCTTTTTTGCCATTTAGGTAAAAGTGGTAGCTAAAATTAAAGTCCCTCCTACTTAATTTACTAGTGTAAAGTTTCTTGGCATAACTAATACATTATATGAGGGGAAGGTTGTGAACTAGATTTAGCCAAAGGCTGCTCTTTGCTTCTAAGCACTAGAAAGAGAGGAACCCTGCCAGAAAAATAAATGTGGATTTACCTTTCCCTAGAAGGAATAATGCACTCATATGACCAGTGTGCAAATGCTTAGTTATACAGAGCTCTGTCTAGTGCTTGGGACAAGTATTTCTTCAATTTGAAGGAATAGTAAAGCAAGAGAAAGATGAATTGCCACTGTCACAGCTTGTAGGCTGTATTTATAATCTGATGGCAAGTACTGTTTTATGTAGAGATAAAGTATTTTATAGAATTCAAACCTCCAGAAGGTTTCAGAGCTTCAAAATTCAAGATAAATAGGATGATAGAGAATGATCTGATAAAAATGAAGTTACCTATTATTTTGGGAAGCAGTCTTGAGCTCTGAAGGGTCACCTTTTTCTGCTTTTTGGTGCCTTCATTAGTGTGCTTCTTGCATGCATAGGCATCAGAGCTGGATTGGTAGTACATAATCTTAACAAATGATTCATCATTGCCAGATGGTGGTAGCACATGCCTTTAATCCCAGCATTCGGGAGGCAGAGCCAGGCTGATCTCTGTGAAGTTGAGGCCAGCCTGGTCTACAGAGCGAGATCCAGGACAGGCACCAAAACTACACAGAGAAACTGGCTTGAAAAATCAAAAAAAAAAAAGATTCATCATTGTTACTTTGTAGTTGCAAATTGGTTACGAATTTTCTATTTTAACATAACATTTTTATTTCTAGGTTTGCAATTACAGATCATCATTATTTTCTGATGTAGAATCTCATTTTAGAACATCGCATGAAAACACTAAGAATTTGCTATGTCCATTCTGCCTCAAAGTTATTAAAATTGCCACACCCTATATGCATCATTACATGAAGCATCAGGTGAGTTTAATAATTCTTATTTTTTCATGTTACCTGATTATCACTCAGAATATTAAGTTTGTTCTTCAAAGGGAGTGAAGTTGTTCCACATATACAGGTGATTTAGAGTATGTACAGAATCACTTGTAAAACTTCTACTTCTTTCCTTGCTTCTTTTCTAGTGATTCTTGGCATATAAATAGTGATGAGTCTCAAAGATAACAAAAAAATAGAAAGTCTACGATTGAGACAAAACAGAAGGAAAATGGAATACAGGAAAGATTGGCTATCTCAGGGTCTCGGTAGATATGGGAATGATTTGGAAGTGCACTCTCAAGAGGAGGAGAAAAATGAGTTAGAATTGAGAAAGACTCAAAATTGAGAACTCTTAATCTTGTTTCCTCTTTGTCTTGTGTCCCCCAGTGTCTAGACCCCTGGTGTTATAAGACATGTTGTCATTGTTGACCTAGAGTAATGTTTCGTAGTTACATGTCAGAGGAAACAAGAGCTCAGCCAGTATTTGAACTGCCAGAGCATAGCTTGTTTCCTGAATGACTTCTCCTAGCTTTAGTTTCTGAAACTCTTAGTAGTTGTTGGATCCTGGTAAATTTGACAAATGCCAGGTTTACAAAATTAAAGAGTTTTATCTTTTAAAAAAGGATTTTTCAGAACTTAAAAAAAAGTGTAGTATGTGTCATTCTCCAATTTCTCTGACCACTGGATTCTTTATTTGAGGAATAGCTATTATTGAATCTTCATAAACAGAGACACTATTCTTGATACTCTATTTCATCTTTGGGTTTTAATTTTTAAAAGGAGAATAGATATGAAGAAATCTCTTATTTCATTATAAGGTTTTTAATCGTATTTGCTCAGATACTTCACCTAGTTCAGGAGTGCTAATTTGGTACAATTATACAGTGTGCAATAAGCAGGTCAGAGTAATGCCACTTTCCCCAGACGTTTAATATTACCACTTCTTGGTACTCATTAATCATGGGTGACTAACGGTAATCATTGTAGACAGCACAGCCACAGAATGTTTTCTTACTGCAGAAAGTTTATTGAATAACACTGCTTTCATTTCTTAGAAGTAGCCAGTTAAATTTGGTTTTAGAGAGGTAATTTTATCCATATACAGACCAATGGGAAATAGCAAAATTTTAAAAATAACATGTAAAAAATGATGTATGTGTGTGGTGTGGGTATGTGCACATGGTAGGAATTGAACTTGGGTCCTCTGGAAGAGCAGTACAAGCACTTAACTGCCGAGTTCTCTCTCCAGCCTCCAAATAACATTTTTCTACATAAAAACATAGAATAACTAATTTTTACAGTGTCAGATCTTTAAATGTTTGACTTGTGACTAAAAGACATTTCATATCAATTTTTAAGATTTTCCCTTTACGGTGTTGTTGTTTGTTTGTTTGTTTTTGAGACAGCATTGCACTATGTAGCTCTGGCTGTCCTAGGACTCACTATGTAAACCAGGTTGGCCTCAAACTCAGTGATCCACCTGCCTCTGCCTTCTGAGTGTTGGGATTAAAGGTGTGCCCCATCACATCTGACTAGGATTCTCATCAGAACCTGTTTATATAACTTTCATAATTTTGTTTTAAAGATTTATTTATTTTTATTTATATGTATCAGTGTTTTGCTCTCATGTATGTTTATGCACCACATGCGGAGGCCATAAAGGATGTTGGGTCCCCTGGAACTGGAGTTAACATAACAGACAATTGCTAGCCACCATTTGGGTGCTAGCAATCAAACCCATGTCCTCTGGAAGAGCAGCTAGTCAGCTAGCGCTTTTCACCACTGAGCTGTTTTTTCAACCCTCATGTTTAATTGCTGTGTAACAGATACTCTTGAGATCCAATTGGAAATGAGATGATTCTTTGATATTATTTATTGTAGTAAAGTATCATTAAAACTAAGAGTTTCAGAACAGAATTTGTGGCTATAGAAACTATTTTCTTTTTTTCTAATAGAAAAAGGGAATACATCGTTGTACCAAATGCAGATTACAGTTTTTGACGTGCAAGGAGAAAATGGATCACAAGACGCAACATCACCGAACATTTGTAAAACCCAAGCAGCTAGAAGGACTGCCCCCTGGAACAAAAGTATGTTCAAATGCATGGTATTATTTCATTTGTATACTAAAAACTAACTCCTGCCTAGTTTTATTTATGGAACAAAATGTTAGAAAATGACTTCTGATTTTTATTAAGACTAACTAATTTTACATTTTACTGCTTTTATGCTTAGAAAAACATCTACCCATTGTTTTTAGTTTAGTGGTGGGAGTATTCCTTCATAAAAAGTGCAACTGAATAAACTGCTCCCTTGATCAGTGAGTTATTTCAATACTGTATGGCTATTTGAGCTTTTCTAGTTAGTAGTATATGTATTAGTTTTAATAGCTGAGCACCAAGGCATTTGATATCAGGAATCATACTCTTTCATTTATCTTTGTATCTCCAGCATCTTTTAGAGTGCCTAATGCTTCAGGTTCTCAGATGTTTGTTGAAGTTGTTATTGCTGAGTCTGCTCTCAAAGAAGCAAATTCTGCTGCTGGACAGCATTGTGAACAAACACTTGTCTGACTGTAAATTGATGATTGTAATTTACTGTTCCCTTTTTGCCTTATATACATCTGTTTTCTCTGACTTCTTTATATACAGTCAGCTCTTGAATATTTGCTCCAGTGGAGGGAAAACAGAGGCATGGATAATCCAAAGTGAAACAATCCCCAAAACATTTATATTTGCCTTTGGGTACTTACCTTTGAATGTGGGTATGTCTTTTATTTGAATTGACTAAATAATATAAAGCCATGCTCTGAAGACTTAGAGCAAGAGGAGCTAGCCAGCATCCTTCCCTGCAGTCCATTCATTTCATGCTGGGACTACACATGCAGAATACTAATGTAAGCAGTGCAGTCCTCTCATCCCATATTAATAGTAATAATATTAATGATACTAAATGTTTTTCTAGCACCTTAGAATTACCTAATTCTAAGTGTGCTTTTTCATATATTTTATTAATTCATACAGCAGTAAATGATGTACATAAAGCCAGTATTACCCTATGTGACAGATATGAAAAGGCTTAAGATTCAGTTACTTTTGCAAGGCCATATAGCTAGGAAGGCAGATTTAACTTCAGTTCTTTTGATTCTTGGTCTAGTGTTCTTGCACATCACACAAGCTATGTGTTAATAGGACTTCATCATTGGCTGTCCCTCAGATGTGAGGGGAGTATAGTCAAATGATTAATGAAAATGTTGGTAGATGATTCCATTTTCATTGTCAACCAACAGATGTAACAGAATATGTTGTTTCTGAACAGGAAATAATAAGCCTTATTAGTTTTTTTAAAGAATTTTAAATGTTATATTTTTCCTTACAGTATAATGAGTTGATACAACCACTTGCATAAATCCTAGGCAGTGTGATCCAGAAAGAACAAGTCGATATTTGTTTGATACTGATAATTTCAAAGGGTAACAGGCCTTTCTAGGGTTACTTTTTTCAGTCTTTATTACTTAAGGTTTGGGTTCTTGTGTTTGGAAATTACTTTTAGTTACATCAGAGCATAAAAATAGCAATGAAATGTGATCTTCTTAGAGTCATACAATTTGTATTAATCTTATTAATTAATACAACGTTAACATACAACTGATTATAATATGAAGCATACAACTGATTATAATTTGAAATATATGAATCAATAATCTAAGTGAATTGAATTCATTTAACTGATTGAATATTTAAAGCAAATAGATGACTAAACCTAGTTAGTTATCTGTGCTTTTTAAAAACTACTTGAGATTTAGTTTATTTTATATGGTGGTTAATTCTTTTAAGTAAATATTTTTTTCATTTTTGTAGGTTACTATTCGAGCTTCAGTTGGACCTTTAACTTCAGGATCTTCCACTACGCCTTTCATCAGTGCAAGCACTTCCACCCTCCAGCTCTCACCTCCAAGGACTGAAAATGTCACTTCCAAAAATCCCACTAAATTGAATACAAGTACACCGAATACAGCTGTATCTGACTCCAGTAAACCTAACGAAAGCAAGCCTAATGGAAGTAAATCTAAGAACAAGTCCAAAGTCTGTACCACGCAGAAGAGACAGAGCACGGTGGCTAATAGTAATAGAAAAAGCCAAGTGAATACAGCACTGAGGAACTTAAGGTAATGCTGTTCTCCTGATAGACACTCCCAGTTTAAACTCAGTATAGCAACATTATGTTTAGTAATAGCCCTCTCTGACTATTTTTGTTTTAAAATATCTTTTTTATGTCTCCACAAGGTTACGTCGAGGTGTTCACGAGTGTATTGAGTGTTGTTCTGAAATAAAAGATTTTGCAAACCATTTTCCTACATATGTCCACTGTAGTTTTTGCAGATACAACACTAGCTGTAGCAAAGCCTATGTAAATCATATGATGAGGTAAGATGAGTTCAGTCAGTGTTTTGCCTATTATAATTACAATTGACGAAGCTTTTGTTTTGTTCTAATACAGACAAGTCAAATTGTCTGTATTAGAAGCCTAGTAGTCTTTTCTGTTATAACAAAGCAAATCAAGAAATTACTGTATGAATTCCCTGAAAATGTTTAAAATGGTTATTTTCAAACATAAATTTAAATGTTTTAAGTATGTTTAACTGACAAATCCGTGTACTCTTGTCACTGTCCTTCTCCTCAAAGCAGTAAGAGACTTGAGAATTTTCAGTGATGCTAGGAACTTCATTGGGTTTGTTCCCTGACATCTTTCTCTGTAGTCCATTTGTCTGTCAGCCATGTGTCCATCTCTGAAGCGTTGTTACCTCTGTTCAGTGAATGTCACGATGCCACTGGTGGCATTCTTTCCAATAGTGTATCCATTCTACACCTGTCATTTGTGCTCTGACAGATGAATTCTTAGGAGTCGCATTTGGATATTACTATTATTGAACCCATTCTTCTTCCTGGGTAGATTTTTAAAGTATATATCTTTTAAGATTGTGTTTTTATTTATGCATATGTGTGTTTGTCTTTGTGAGTGTATGCCACTTGTATATGGTGCCTGTGGTTACCGGACAGGGTGTCTGGAGCTAGAGTTAGAGGCAGTTGTGAGCTGCCTTTATGGGTACTGGGGACTTAACCTGGGTCCTCTGAAGAGAAGGAAGCACCATGGATTTTTATTTTTAAAGAACAGTCCTGGTTGTCCCCATATAAATAAACCTGATATATTGCTTATCCAAAATGATACTGTTCTGAGGTTTTTTGGATAAAATTCATGTATAACTGAGTTTAAGTCATAGCCTGGCTTTCTTGTTGCTTTTTGATTATTGCCAGATATTGCTTTCAAGTGTCATCCTACCTTGAAGGTGGCTTCAGTACTTTCCCCAGTTCTCTGTCCTTGGTGACCAGCCTGGCCTCCTGGTGCCCTATCGTATACAGTCCCTGCACTGGCATAAGTGTTGAAGTCCTCTTTCTCACCTACTAGAACCATTGGAATACCTGCCTGCGCTTCATTCCTTTGAATGCCTGTGAACCTGTGGTGTTCAGTCTCTGTCAAGCTCTGTTGTCTCTGTTATCATCAGGGTCATTATTTTCAGTCCTATTTTGTTTTCTCATTTGCTCTTTGGCCATGTTCATTGTCATAAAGGACAACATAACTTTGAATCTATTCTCCTTTCCCCTTTCTTTATATTATGTTCAGTTCTGAAATATATGTGTCATTCATACCAGTCTTACTTCATAGTAGAAAGTTTTAATTATTGTATATGTGTATGTATGCACACACACATGCATGGGTATATTAGGGGTATACTAAGGTTGTACACAGGAGCATGGGTGAGGGTCAGCCTTTCTATTTTTGTTCAGCATTATTTGACTCTCTCTGGTTATTTGTGTTTTCAAATGTATCTTAAGTGTTTTGTTTTTTTTTGTTTGTTTGTTTTTTTTTTTTTTTAAGTTTCTCTGAAGAATAGTATTGGGATTTTTATTGGGATTGCATTGAATCTGTATATTCCTTTTGGTAAAATGGCCATTTCACAATATTAATTTTTCTAATTCATTAGCATGGAAAGTCTTTCCATCTTCAGGTTTCTTCCTCAGCTGCTTATGTGTTTCAAAGTTTTCGTTGGAGAGGTCTTTCAGTTCCTTTGTTATGGTTATTCCAAGATGTTTGTTAGTTTCTTTAAGGCTATTTTTTCTGCTTGATTTCTTTCTTTCTCAGCACGTTTTCCTTTTTTCTTTCTTTCTTTCTTTCTTTCTTTCTTTTTTTTTTTTTAATTTAAGGCAGGTGTTTCACTGTATAGCCCACATGGGCCTTGAACTTAAAATTCTCTTGTTTCAGCCTCCCGGGTACTAGAATTACAGGTGTGTGTCACCACATCTGACTTCCCCCCTTTTTTTATTAATATACAAATTTGTGGAATTTGTTTTAAATCTAGATAATAAGAAGAGAGGCAATATAAATTTGTGGAATTTGTTTTAAATCTAGATAATACAAAGAGAGGCAATATAAATTCTTTTATTTATAGCTAGGGGGTCAGATAACTTAAAAATTATTATCAATATTTTAATGGTACAAATTGTAGGCATATTTGAAAGTCATCCTAAAGACCTTAAGGTGTAATTTAATCTCACTTTCCTAATAGGTAATAAAGCAAAAATGGTATTCTTAGCTGAAGAAAGATCATCTTTGAATTTTATTTTTTAGATAATATTTGATTCAGGTATTTTATGAATCAGACAAAATCTTAGACTAGTTCCTCAAAGGAACAATCATATGCAAATTTTTCCAAATAATTTTGATTCTTCTCAACTTACTGATATAAAAAACTGTTTTTGTAATACTGTTATACAGATACACGTAAATTCTTTACTAATACTTTTACTCAAATTGAAGAAAAAACCATTTGAACTCTTCTGAGAATATGAAATCTTTGAAGAATATTTCCCAAGTTTGCAGCTAGCCAGAATAGTTGTTTTTCTGTATATACAGCCTATTTTATATATCACCATTTGCCTGAGTGTGCATTATAATCAAACTTTGTTAAAGCCCCCACTGCCAGAGATTAATCCAGTAGGTTTGTGGGTAACCTGAGACTTTACATTTCTAGATAAGTACTCAGGTGATGCTGGTACTGTTGTGTGTGACTTCACTTTTAGAAATAACTGTGCTAAACCAGCCCTGACTTCTAGTACAAGACAGAGTACAAGGACATATAAGACCTGTGATCATGGGGCTAAAAGTGTAGTTAGTGACCTTTTTTGTTCTGTGTGGAGAGGAAGCATCATTTTAACTTAGAAGTCCTTATTTTCATTTTGTTTTTTAAACTGCTGCTGGTAATCTCAAAGACATCTATTGAAATGTTTGACTTTAAAAATATAAACAGTAGCCTTAAGTTCAAGTAGTATTTTACTTCTATATCTTTCAAATTTTTTGAAATTCATTTGAATACCCTTTCATCTATGTAAGCATGCTAAGACTTCAAAGTGGTAAATTATTACTGATAATCATTCATCTTATAGTGAAAATATATCATTCGCAGAAACTTAAAATTGTTTTCAATGTTTAATAGAAAAAAATTTAGTTTAATGATCTGTACTGTTTTATTTCCCTTTTTCTGTAACAATGAGGTATTGATTGGGAATATGATTAGTGAAAATAGATGTCAACAGAGAAAACACAAGGATGTCACCCACATTATTGGGAAGACGTCTCAGCAGTTAGGAGCACTCACTGCTTTTTCAGAATGCTAGGATTCTGTTCCCAGTATCCATGCAGCAGCTACAACCTTCTGTACCTTTCTTTCCAGGAGATTCAGTGCCCTCCATGGGCAACAGGCACACACCTACTTTACAAACATACATATGGGCCAAATGTCCATATACATAAACTAAAATAAAAATTTAAAGTGAAACAAAAGATATAGTCACACATGGTGGTACACACCTTTAGTTCCAGTTACTCAGAGGTCAAAGTAGGAAACGGCCCTTGGCCCATTAATTTAATACCAGTGCGTAGAGGTCCCATCTTGAGAGGAAGGGGGCGATAATAACTTAAACAGAAATGAAAGTGATATTCTCATCATGCTATTTTGTTTAAAAATAGAACCTTAAGTATAGGCTTTAAATGTATTTATAAATCAGTGTAACTTTCTGTTCAGTAAAAGTATTGTAATCATTTTTGTCTTTCCAGCTTTCATAGTAACCGTCCAAGTAAAAGGTTTTGTATATTTAAGAAGCATTCAGAAAATCTCAGGTAAATGAGTTACTTCTGTAGTCTTTCTGTTGAACAATGATTGTAATTTTTGCCTTATGTGATAACTTTTTAAAGCTAGAATTGGCATACTGTATTAGTTACTTTCCTGTTGCTATGATGTGAACACCTGCAACACCTTAAAGAAGAAAGGGTTTCTTTTTGGCTCAATTTGAAGGTAGTCTGTCATGGGGAGGTGGAGTGACTGGTTACATTGTGTCTGCAGTCAGAAAGCAGAGTCTGAGTACTACCACTTGGCTCCTTCCCTTTTATTCTATCCAAGATCCAAGCTGTGGGATGGTATACCTATATTTAGTAGTGGGTCTTCCCAGGTCACTTAACCTAGAAACCCCCTCACAGAAATGCCGGGGGTTTGTTCGTTCATTTGTTTGTTTGTTTCTTTCTTTTTCTTTCTTTCTTTCTTTTCTTTTTTTTTTTCATTTTGGATTTTCTGAGACAGGGTTTCTCTTTGTACTTTTGGTTCCTGTCATGGAACTTCTCTGTAGACCAGGCTGGCCTTGAACTCACAGAGATGCGCCTGGCTGTTATCTTAATGCTTTCAGATTAATCAAGATTAAGCATTACACATGCCATATTCTTCATGTGTTTAACAATAATCTTAATAAATTTTAGTATGTTGTTTATCAGTCATATAGTTAATATGTGTACATTTTCAGTACTTAAAAACTAATCCCATTTATTAGTAATCGTTCCAATTTCCTTTAAGTTCTGCCCATCCCCAAGCAACTGTAAATGTACTTTGTGTTGGTATAAACTCATCCATTCTGGGTGTTTTGTAAATAAAGGGGTGGTCATTAGTGACTGCCTATCAAGGTTCATCCATGGTGTAGAATAAAGCAGTACTTACTTAAATTGATGAGTAGTATTTTATTTAATACTTTATGGATATAACATAGGTTATTCATTTGGTTAGTTTTGTATTTTGAGGTCATTATAGATATGTTGCTCTGAACACTTTTGTATAAGGTTTCACAAACACCCATTTCTCTTTTGTGTGTAAGTAGGATAAGGTTTGCTTGGTTACATTCTCATTCCCTGGTAAGCCTTTGAGAAACTGATAGATTGTTTTCATCATAGTTTCATTGTTTTACATACTCACTAGTACTGTGTAAGAGTTACACTTTTCTCTATCATTCCTAGCACTTGTTACTTATTTTTTTTATTACAGGCGTTCTACACTTGATATTAGCCAAAAGGCCAAGAATTGATATTACAGGCATTCTAATAGATACAAAGTGCTTTGTCATTGTGGTTTGCTATATCTTTTTAATTAACCCAATGTCAGTGCTTGTGACCAGATGTCTCAGTGTTGTGTTACTATCATTAGATCAGAGGAATGTCATAGTACTCTTGGTAAGTTCATTGTAGTAGTGACAGATGGGGACCAGATGAAGGACATTTGCATTGTATGATGAGAACAAAAATAAAGCTTTCCAATAGTTGAATATTGCAGTGTCAGCTAAGATATGTAGGAAAGTTTGAGCACAGTGATGGTGGTGCATACCTTTAATCCCAACACTTCGAGGCAGAGGCAGATGGATCTCTCTGAGTTCCAGGCCAGCCTGGTATACAGAGTGAGTTCCAGGACAACCAAGGCTGTACAAAGAAACCCTGTGTCAAAAAAACAAAAAACAAACAAACAAACAAAAAGATATATAGGAAAGTAAATAATACAAGTTGTTGTTTTTTTTTTAATTTTATGTATTATGTGTGTTTGCATGCACAAATACTACAGCACATATGTAGAGGTCAGAGGTCAACTTTCAGAAGTTGGTTTTCTCCCTCTGTTGTGGGTTCCAGGGGTTGACTTTAGGTCATCAGCTTTGCATGGCAAATGCTCTTCCTTGCTAAACTATCTCATCAACCCCCTTCAATTTTTAGTAATTTTAAAGCACTGGAATGCTTTACATCAATACATAGTCTTCTTACTTTTCTTACTCAAATACTGAAGGAAGTTGAGTTCAACTGTATATGAGGTGAGTTGTAACCATGTAGCTTGGGGCTGTCATGATATGAATTGATGCACTGAATATGGGCTTTATTTAAAATCTAATTCTGACCCTTACCAGCTTTGTCTTTGGTAGACTATTAAGCTAATACTAGCTAAAGAGATGGTAATTATAGCATCTAATTATTCAAGTTGTAACATTTAGATGAGATAACATGTCTGTAACCAGCTATACACTACTGATATCATGAAGTGCTTCACAGTAAATATTTTAGGAAAGCAGAGAGTCAGAGACTAGTTGGAGCCTTAATGTCAGGTGAAATGTCGTTTAAAAAGACCAGTCAGGAAGAACTAATTTGGGGGTTTGTAGTTTGTTTTACTAGTGCAGCCTGTAGGTGGAATGCACAGTATGTTAGAATTTCAGGGGAGACAGTGTGACCTATTTTCACATTTAAAAAATTAATATATTTTATTATGTGTATGGATGTTTTACCTTCTTATATTTCTAGGTACCATGTTCATACTTGGTACTTGCAGAGGCCAGAAGATGGTTTCTGCTCCTCTGAAACTGGTTTTGCTGATAGTTGTGAGCCTCCATCTGATTGTTGGGAATTGAATCCAGGTCCTCCAGAAGAGTAGTTTTGCTGAGCTATCTCTCCTGCTTCCTACCCCTAGCTTCGCTTTTTTTTTAAACTTAAAAAAAATTATTTTTTTGTTTTTGCAGGCGTCCAAATTCTTGTTCTGCCTTATCTTGTGTCAGATTCATATGGCTTAACATACCTTTTTCCCTCTGTGTGGCCCTGGCTGTCCTGGAATTCACTCTCTAGACCTGGCTGGCCCCAAACTCACGTCTGGCTGCCTCTGTCTCCTGAGTGCTGGGACTGAAGGCATGCACCCCCACACCTGGCTGGTTTCACATTATAAAACATTATGCTGTGACAAACTTCAAATAAGCATGCTTTGTTGTTTAACCAACATCAATAATGATCACATTGCATGATCATTTCTTTTTCACCTAAGCAAAAATAATTTATTAAAGAGATTCTAAAGAATCTTACAGTTGGCTGGGCATGGTTGTGCATTCATTTAGTCCCAGCATTCAGGAGGTAGAGGCAGACCTGATCTATAGAGTAAGTTCCAGGACAGCCAAAGACTGTGTTACACAGAGAAACCCTGTCTCAAAAACCCAAAAAGAACCTTACAGCCCCCTCAAAACAGTAGAATTACAACCAGAACTAATAAAAGAAAGTCATTAGGAACCAACTTTAGTCTTCTCTAGTTTGACCTCTTGCTTTCTCTGTGCCTAGATTTTTCTTTACCTTCAGCATACCAACTTTCTCTATTAAAGACCCATATGTAACATTTCAAACCTCCCATGCTTTCCCAAATAAAGAAATTTGTTTATACATTAAAAATTTATAATTATCACACATTTCATTAATGACTTCAGCAGATAGGCAGGTGGGCTAGTTAATGATGCTGCTATGAAAAGATATTCAGGCATGCACATTCCAGTGTCTATTAGCTACTTCATTTAATTCAGTGGTATGTGAAGATAGCACCAATTGTGGTAAGAACATCAATGCATAGCATGCATTTGATAGTAACTGTCATGTGATCCATTTTTAGCGCCTCTGCATTGTTTTTCTAATTTTATCTTTGACTAAATGAACCCCTAGATTGTAAATTCCATTAGAACATGAACTACACTTGTTTTTTGTTCACCATTATATATGCATAACACCTAGTGGTGTAGTATATAAAAGAGCCTTATTCAGTGTGTATTAAGTGAGTGAATGCTATATTCTCACTTTTGATGGCAAAGAAACAGTATGGCTTAACTATATTAATGCAAGCTCTTAACAGAGCCATGACTACCTATTGGTAGCTTTTTTCAGCTGATACAAAAGGTGAATGTTCCTAAAACAAATACTTTTTGGGGGAAGAGGTGGTACTGGGTATTCTAGGCCTGCACTCTAGCACTAAGCCTTATTTCTATCTTTTAAACATGAATACTTTATATAAATAAATGACATTATAATTTGGATGTGACTATACCATTTTCTAAAAGTTATATCAAATTTATATAACAAAATGTAAGTTATGACCAAAAAATGGAAATAGTATTGAACTTGTGTATGGTTTCATTAAAAATAAAACCTTTTATTTTATTGCTATTTTTTTTTTTTAATAGGGGCATTTCTCTAGTGTGCCTTAATTGTGATTTCCTAACTGATGTTTCTGGCTTAGATAATATGGCTACACACTTAAGTCAACATGAAACTCATACTTGCCAAGTTCTAATAGAGAAAGGTATGTTTACATAACTACTATTTCTGATATTTTATATTTGTTACTATTTTGGTCAGCTAAAATAGGGGCTCTTTACTAAGTAATTTGATTTCACTGATCATTGTTCATATACTCTTGTAAATGTGAAACTTTTCTTCTGATTTCAGTTTCTGTTTGTATCCCAGCTTCTGAACATCTTTCTGAGTAAGTGTAATTTTTATTAAGTGTGTTCTCTTTGGTGGATTTTAGCATAATTGCATTCTTAGTGTGCCTTTAACGGGAGTGAAAAAACACTGAAGGTTTTTTGTTTTTATTTTTAAGCTGCTTGTTGAAATTGGTTCCTGCTCTATGGAGCTCATGACCTGGTGCAAGAGAAGTTGGAATTTCCCAAGTTCAAAGTTCTGAGATGTTTCTTACACAAGGCAGTTACACAGTCCATGACACCAGTGCTCATTACTCAGCTCTTTCCAGCTTTCGCAGGCGTCCAAATTCTTGTTCTGCCTTATCTTATGTCAGATTCACATGGCTTAACATACCTTTTTCCCTCCAGTTGGCTCTCTAAAAATAACTGTTGTTACTGTGCTCTTTTCTTTGCTTAAAATAATTTGTGTTTTCTCTGCTGTACTTGCCTTCAGAGTAATGTATTCCAAATACTATAGCTTTTTGTTTTGTCTGCTCTCTTCATACCTTATGCCTTGAGTTTTTAGGCCAGATGGTTGTCTTTTCCCTCATTTGTTGTCTGTTATTGTGCTGTTTTTCTTATTTTTCAGATGCAGAAGCAGCCCAGAGATTTCAAAACATGTCCAGGGTGTATCTGGACAGTGTCCCCTTCGATGGACACAAGTGCTGCCTGTTCTCTCTTTCCCAGGAATGAGAATGAACTGACTGTGGGACCTGCTCTAGGTTCTGACCTGCCATCGGGCTGAGGCTGATTAGGCCAGAGGCAGCCTCAAAGCCCACCAAATTGAGCATGGTCCCATTGGTGGCTTTGGCTCTTGATCTTAATCTTGTGGGCCACTTGTGAACAAGAAAAGCCCATCAAATTAATGCTTTGATACCCAAATTAAAATTGGGTCATTTTGGCTGCTACCCTTAAATGTTCCTCTAGCACAAAGGCAGGCAGTCCAGGACACTGAGACACCCTGGTTGCTGGAGGATAATGGCAGTGTCTAGTCCTCAGACAACATTTCTCAGTGACATGTTCTAAAATTGCAGTTATTTTTACTGTCACTGAAAATCTATTGTCCCATATTAACTATAATTTTAATATAATTCTCAGATTCTATTTTTTTTAATTAAGTTAATTCTGATAGCTTGATTTTCTGTTCTCTGAATTTATTGATGTCTGTCTTTCTATTCTCTAATACTTGAATGTTTGTTTCATTTTGTCCAGAACTTCAAAAGTTCATGTAGGATGCTTGTTTGTGGCTTTTTAATTAAGGTGTTGCTTAGACCACTATGTCCTCTTCCCTAGTTGAGGGTTATTAATCTAAGTAATTGTGAGTTTTAAGGTGTAACAAACTGGTGAGGCTTCTTGAAGATTCTAAAAACAAGTTTTAAAGTAACATTTAATTGATAAGAAATCACTGCTGAGTCATTAACATCATATCCCTTTGGGTAAAAGTAAGATTATTTATATAGTGTAACCAGTATCCATGAGCTTTTTCCTACTTAACCTTGTAACTTTTTATCTTAGTTAAATTGAGTTCAAATCAATTGTTTTGATCTATTATTTTAATAAATCTTATATTAGTCTCAGAAATTATTTCCTAATGAATAATTTCACATAAAACTAAATTTTATCCTGCAAATAGGAGCATTAACTTCTGTATGGAGTCTGGTTGATTGACTTGTCTACTGAGAGTATATCCACTTAGTACATTTGTGTTCCCCTCAGCCCAGCTAAAAGGCCTCTGTTCTTGCAGCACTGATTTTGTGGATTTTGGAAACAAACGAAGTGCTTGTTGTGGTCTTAACAGTTAGAATCAGCAGGCTCTGAAATTACAGTTTAAGGCCTATTTTTCTTGCATTTTAAAAATATGTATTTACCCACCCCAATAGCAGAGCTTTATATGTGCTTTTAGAGCAGAGATAAAGCCATTTTCAGATGACTACTCTTTGTTTTCTGTTTCCTTGCAATTAACAATAAAGAGGTGAATTCCATATTAGTTTTAAGCTTCTGAACAATTTTATACTATACATGAAAGCATTTCTAAAATCCCTAACAACAGTTTGTTGTTTTGTGGTGGATTTGATACACTAGTCTTTATTGCTTTATAATTTCTTTTAAAAATTGACCAGGAAAAAAAAATGGCTTGTTTTCATTTAACAGTAATTGTCTATCATTTTCAGACTAGAGAATCTGTTCTTCCTTGGTCATGGTTGAGTATTTGCATATTCTCTCCTCTTCCACAGAACTGTTGTTTAAAATGTGCACCAAGTTCACTTTATCTGCCTTTTTTCTTTTTCTTCCCATTTTCCCCAATTTTAAATGAGACAGTTTTGCTATGTAGTTTATTGGAACTCATCGTCCTGCCTCAGCCTTCCAAGTGCCGGGATTACAGGCATGGTCATAATACCCTGCTACATTTTTCTCTCAAAGTTCTGACAAATGTAACTTTAAAAAAAAAAATGCTTTAAAGCAACACAAAACTTTATAGGCAGTTTATAAATTTGTTTAGTACTTATCAGCTCTTTAATTCTAACCTGACTTTACTGTTAAGTTTTAAAAAGTAGTTTATATACTGGTCATATAAAGCCATCTCATGCCTATGTGCTTTGGGGTTACTACTGAATAAAACGTAGTTTGTACACTGAATCCATTGCCACTCTTAGATTTGTATAGTTTTGAATTCTTAACGTTTCTGGAACAGCATCCTGTCTCTTATACTTCATTTATTCATTCATAAAATATTTATTGAATATGTACTTTATACCTGGCTCTTTTCTGTGTGCTAGAAATAGAGACTGGAATTGCTGCTCTCAGGGAGTTTACACTTTAGTGGTAAAAACGGGCAATTAAAAAGTAAAATAAACAACATGCTAGACTGTGCTTAGTATTAGGAAGAAAAGTGAAATAGGGTTAGGGGATAAAGGAAATACAAAGTGAGATTTGGAAGGGGGTGCCATTTTAGTTTTGATGATCAGAAAAGACCCCACTGAGAGACAATATTTGAGTAAAGACACAAAGTGGGTGAGGAAATATAAGGTCTGGGCATTAACTTGGTTATGCCTACATGTCTTTTTTTTTTTTTTTTTCTTTAAGAGGAGTTGAATTCAGAATCTGACATAACCCTCTTCCCAAAAATAGTAACAGGATGCTTGATGTTGAGAAATTAAATGCTCATTTTAATCTTGGATCACTTCAATACTACATGTATTCTTATAAAAAGTATCCTCTTATATATTTATAAAAGGTGACTGGCTCCATATGTGAACTGTATAACTAATGTTCATAATTTATACATGATCTGGGGGAAAATCGTCCTAGAGTCAAATAAATCAAGGAAATGTAGGTTAAAATTAGCTTGATGTGATGGCACATATCCTTAGTGCCAGCACTTGGGAAACAGAAGCAAATAGATCTCTGTGAGTTCCAGGACCTTGTCTCAAAAAGAAATGAAAGAGAAAGGGGGGGCGGGGAGAAGATTAATTAGTGTATTGTTTTTGATTCTATAGTGAATGTCTTAGAGAATATTGGCCCACTTTTCCTTCAGTATTTATTTGACATTAATCTCTAGATGTTAAAATCTAATAAATCATGTAAAATCCTTATATATAGATTTATCACTTTTTTAATTAGATCTAAAAAATAATTTGTATAAATAGTTGGCTTAGGATTCCTAGAAAATGTTCCTGAATCACATAAGGTGTAGTGTATAATTAAATACTAGCAAGTACATGTGTACTCGCCCACTTACATCAGGAAAAATGATATCCTCATTTATAAAATCAAAGTAGTACATAACAGAGGCAGAACAATTATTAGCTAATTCTGCCTCTGATTGTAGGCACAAAGGATGCTGTTATTCCAGAGCATGGTTACCTTAGTAACCATTTGAAACTATTATTATTTCTAGACTTTATATCATTTGTTAAGAAATTTCTTTAATATTTTTTTTCCTTTATAAAATTCTGCTTCCTCCCTAAATGGCTTCCAGAACTGGTGCCCAGCTCCATATTGAACTTTCTCAGACCCTCAAACAGATTCTGTGATGTAAGAGTGTAGGCTTTGTAGTAGATTGCAGAGTTTGGAATTCTTGCCTTGTTTACTAGATATGAGTGTCTCTAGTTACGTTACCTGACATTTCTGCCCCAATTCCTCATTCTTAAAATGTAAATCACAAAAGAGGCTATGTTCAAAGGTTGAGGGATTTAAAGGAATTAGTATATGCTTATGGTCTCTGAAAGTGCGGAGTATACAGGAGGCAGTATGAAAGTGACTGTGTGATTGTTCCTGTTGTGATGTTAGCATCCATAGTGTTATTTCTGTCTGCATTTTACTGAAAGATAATCACCCCGATGTTCAACCCGTTTTTCATTTTAGCCCACCCATATCATTTCACAAAACATTGCTGCTAATTCTCTTTTCTTACCTGTGTACAGAGTTAATGTTGCAGAATGTGTCAGCCACACCATCAGATTCTGGTATTTAAGTGCACTACATTATATTTTGAGGGAATATTTATGAATATTCTAGGTTCGTTTTGATAATACTGTCTTTTTAAATTTTATCACAGTCTTCCACTAAACTATACTGCCTTGTAACTTAATACTTTATACCCCAACTCATACATTCAGTGCACTTGTGATTTTTGAGATCCTTCAGCCTTACTCTTACCAACTTGGTATTTGACTACTTGGAGAGGTTTACTGTTTCTTTTTGTATCTTTGACTGAAATAGGAGACCCTAGTGATTTTAATCTTCCACACTGAGAATGTGTTTATCTACACCACTATGACGGATGGTGCTGATGAAGGAATGTCTGCCTGAAATAGACAGATACAGGCTTAGATCCTAGTTAAATATACTCTAGCTCAGTAAAATTTAACCCTTGCTAAGCTTCAGGTTTCTCATCACTAAAAGAAACAGTAATTCTTTGTAGGACAGCTATAACACTGTGTGGAAATCAGTGGGTCGTGTTACTAACTCCAATAATTTACTTAAACGTTTCAGTTCTTTGGCACAGTCTGGGGATACTCGGCACTTAGTAAATGTACATTGCTGCTACTGCCTCCTCTGCTGCTGCTGTCTCTGCTTCTGCTCCTGCTGCTGCTCCAGCTGTTTCTTCTGCTGGTGCCATTATTTCTTGATGACAGGAGACCCTGGCGACTGGATATCTGTGGAATCTCATGGTTGAAAGTTTTAGTGACAGTCCATCTGTACTGTAGTTATTTACAGTTTTGACTTACAGTTCAGTCTTGCAATATGTTCTTCTCAACTACTGGTGAATGGTATCACAGTGCTTTAATTAAATATTATGAAATTTTCTGACACCAGAACTGAGTGTGATTCTGCCTGCTTTGTGTGAAGACTATGTAACAACATTGCCTTATTGAAATCTAGTACAGAGCCCTCTCTGCTTAGAAAGACAACAGTCCTTTTAAACTGACATTTCCTTCTTAAAGACAACCTTTTTATTAATTGATTTCAAGTAGGCATTTTCAAAATTCTCTGGCTGTTTATACAACCCAGTTTTATAAAAATACATTCATTGTACTAGTTAGCAGTAATGTTGTTCTTTCTTTTGTAGCACTGAAGTAATTTTGGAAAGTAGTACCTGTTTCTCTAGTGTTAGGTCATGCTGAACTTAGGCATGAAGTTGCTGTTCCCCTTTTTTCTGTCTCCTCCTTCTGTGTTCTCCAGTGTGCCTGTATAGACTCACTATAAAACAGAACTGAAGTCAACTATTGTTTTTTCTGAGATGCTTGTCCTCCTGAAAATGTTAAGAATAGAAAGATGAGTCTCTTACCAGGTGTGGTGGTGCACGCCTTTAATCCCAGTACTCAAGAGGCAGAGGCAGGCAAATCGTTGAGTTTGAGGCCAGTCTGGTCTACATAGCGAGTTCTGGGCAAGCCAGGACTGCATAGTGAGATTCTTTCTCAAAAATAGAAAAAGAAAGAAAGAAAGTCTCTTAGCCTTCTTCATAGCAGAAGGACCTGTAGTAAACTATTATCTGTAACTCAAGCTTGTAAAGAGAATAAAGCTTGTTCAGTGAATAAAATATCCTACAAAGTACCTTATGAAATAGTCCAGTACTTGCTTAGTTCTGAGCATGGTTACTAAGTCTGTGCTAAGTATAAAGCCCGCTGTCTTACTGCTGTGTGAAGGCTACTCTAGTTTCTTCAAATTAGGTTGAAAGTTGTCTTTGTTTTGAAGATTTAAATGGTATAAAATGCATTTTCAGATACAAATATGTTTATTATACTTTATTAACCCCTCAAATATAAAGACTATGAGGAAGGAATGAAAATTGAAAACTGACTTTTCTTCAATTCCTTTCTCTGGTTTCAAAATTACTGAGTACTGGGTTTTATGCTTAGCACCAGTGGTACTCAGTAGCTCTTTCATGGTGCGATATAGGTAATTTCCTGTGTACTCAGGACACTGATGCTAATGACCCCCAAGACTGTGTCAGGAATTGGACTTGGAAACATAACTGAAAGGTATGCTGTGTGGCACCAAGATAATATAAAAATAAAAAGGGAGCCAGAACAGTAAACAGGAAGTCTGCAATAAATCCATGTCCTCACAGGGACACATGGTCAGCTGATTTCATAATTACTCAAATATTTCATACCACATATAAGTCACATTGTATGATTTTTGTGTAATACTACATCAGAAGGAACCCAAAGTGAAATGCCATTTTGTTATATTACTGTCAGCTAAATCAGTTATCATTTTTCATGTGTGCAAATAGTAAATTTTTCTTGGTGGAGGCAACCTTTTTCTTTAAGCCTTACATTTGAAAATACTGTTTTGGTTAAAAAGCACTCTTACTGTATCTGTGAGTGGTGAATAATATGTAAGGAGCTAGTCCATTATTTCTTGTTAATTTCTAATCTCAGTTAGAGGTCAGAAATTTCTGACTGTGGTCATAATCCAAGTTGTAGAGTTAAATGTCATATTCATTTCATGTATTTAATTTAGTGTGAGGGTAAAATGCAAACCAGGCTTGTCTGTGAGGTCATTTGGGGCTCTGCTCTTCTGTGAACCTCTGTGGGGTGACTGTGATTAGAGATACTGGAAGATCTTCCTCCTGGATCTCAGTCATTCAGATCTCAAACCAAGGGGTTGGGGATTTAGCTCAGTGGTAGAACGCTTGCCTAGCAAGCACAAGGCCCTGGGTTCTATCCTCAGCTCCAGAAAATTAATAAAAAAAAAAAATCTCAAACCAAATCTTCAGGAACTCAAGCTATGTTTCCTTATCAGAGTAGATATAATGCATATGGGCTTTGCATGAAATAGTATGAAACATACATGAACATGAAATGATTTCTGCAGCTTAGTTTTCTGCCATGGCATCCTGTGATAAGTAGGGAAGAGTAAGATACCAAGTGAGATGGAAAGATAAATTAACTTCTTGTAGTCAGTCTGTTTTAGACAGTCTGTACCAATCTCTACCATTGATTCTGAGGTCAGTGCCATTCTGATAGAAGACCTTTTTATAGATGATAATTGGGATCTCAACAGTGGGAAAAATAATTTGGAGCTATGCCCTGGCATTAGCTGTGCCTACAGTGGTGATCCTAATTTTTTACTTTTTTGTGCATATTTTGTTTTGTTTGTTCCTTATGTCACTTACTTTAAAAATGTATCTAGAATGATATTTCTGCTCCTTAACATGTATTTATTTCTGTGCTGGGGGTCAAACCTAGAGTTTGGAACATGCTGGCTACTTCTCCAAGTGTTTTCCCGGCCAAGTACCAAAGCCATGTCTCTACTACTGAGCAGTAGCCTCAGCCCAGCACATGCTAGAGAAAGTGTCCCACCACTGACCATGTTCCCTGCCTACTGGATAGCTGAGGTGATGGTCTAACTTTAGATGATCAGATCAAACCCTCGTGTTGAGAATGGATAGATCATTTTGTACTAGAGAAAATAAGACTAGTCCTAGGGAATATCAGTCCAAATGAATGCCTGCTGTGTTTGAGGGTGTGGTGGGAGCATGGCAGAGAATCAGCCAGTGGAGATAAAGTAGTCCTTGTAGTACACTCAGGCTCTGAGCCAGAAAAGTCGTTTTAGACTTTCTCCGTGGCAATAATAATAGGTAACATTTATTGATGGCATTAGCTATGCAAGGCAGTCTTTTTTTTTTTTTTAGATTTATTTATTTATTTATTTATTATGTATACAGTGTTCTGCCTGCATGTATCCCTGCAGGCCCAAAGAGGGAACCAGATCTCATTACAGATGGTTTTCAGCCACCATGTGTTGCTGGGAATTGAACTCAGGACCTTTGGAAGAACAACCAGTGCTTTTAACCTCTGAGCCATCTCTCCAGCCTGCAAGGCAGTCTTTTAAGTATTTTGCATTTATTTATTCATTCATTTTGAGAAATTGTTAAGTGCTCTCATCCTGAGCTTATAGAAAACTGGGGAATAGTAAGCCAAATAGTTTGCCATAGGTCATGTGACTTCTAAGTAGATGATCTCATTTCAGTTTTGACTCTTTGCTTCAGAATTAAAACTACTAAGTATTGTTGTTTATTTGGTTGTACCTATGATTACAGGTGCATTTCTTCTGTCTTGGTTGAATACCCAAGGAACTGGATAAGGCAGACCCAGCTTCTCTTTCAACAGAAGGGCAGGCGACAAGTGATGCATTCATAGCACTGGGACATTAATGTATCCCCCAGGTTGAGGGTAGCGTTTCTGATGCATGGCAACAAAACAGAGCAAAGATCACATGGAGTCAGTCTTTTGGCAAGATTAACCTGACAGCCACACTCATGTTTGAGGATTGAAAACATTCTGAGGCAGAGAAATTATCTTTTCATTTTCCCTGGAATGGTCATAAGAGAGCCTAATTATCAGGAACAGGGCGGGATTGCTGGGAACAGTGCAGTAGGAGTGGGTGTGTTTAACCTGCATTGGTGGCTTTGCAGCTTAGCATTCAGGCCTCAGATTATTTCATCTGTAATATTAAGACAGTTGTATAATGAAATCTTAGGACTCCAGGGGAATAGCCTGTATTTTTTAATTGAATTATCAGCTGATTGGAAAACTAAGAAAAATAGAGGCATCTTGCTCTGGATGTTGATTTTGAAGTTACCTGGATAGAAATAATGTTGGGAGTGACTGATAGTTGCACATGGATGTTCTGCGGGTATCACAACTTCTCTGTGCCCCAAACTGAATTTATCTTCTGCAGAAATGGCTCATATCCTCTGAATTTCTTTTTTCTCTTTTTCTTTTTGGTTTTTCGAGACATGGTTTCTCTGTGTAGCTTTGGTGCCTGTCCTAGATCTCGATCTGTAGACCAGGCTGGCCTCGAACTCACAGAGATCCACCTGGCTCTGCCTTCCAGTGCTGGGATTAAAGGTGTGTGCCACCACTGCCCAGCCTGAATTTCTTAACTTAGTGAATGCCTCTGTCATTGTTCTGATTTGTCCAAGGTTGTATTTCTTTTTCCTCATATACCTCTATCTGGCATACTTAAATTCTGTTGTTTCCAATTTACTTATTATGTCCTAAAGTCTTAGGTTTAGTATGGACACTTAACCGTCATGGTCTTCCCTGAAGTGAGTGGCCTCTGCTGTCTCCAGGGTTTTGTCTTTTACTGCTGTTTTTTTTTATTTGTGTTTTGTCCCATGTTTCTGTGAGACGAGTCCGTACTGTTTCAGTTCTGTCACTGCTAGCTCGTTTCATGGTATTATTATTATTATTTTTTTTTAGATCTTTTTGCTTCCTCTTTTTTTGGGTTGGTCTTCTGCTTTGCTAACTTCTGTTCCTCCTAAAGAGCCAAGTTTCATTGTGGTCTTTGCTGCTCCTTTCCTGTCTCCTGATCATAGTGTCTCGGTCCTTTACGAAGCCAGTCTAGACACAGATGTTTCTTTTCTAATACTTTACAGTTTTCTAAGTATTTGTTTCAGTAGATTTCCTTGACAATGACCTCTCAAGAGGAGAGACTGTTTCTTGGGACCAGACCACTTAGCACACATGCTTATGCACAATATGGTAAATGTCTAGTTCAGGCATCTAGTTCATACATCAGTTTGTTGACACATCTCAGAGAAAATGGCCAGAAAGATGCTCTTGCTGTTTTGCTCTTCATCCCTAGTCTGATGCTGTCCTATTTAGTCCTGACTGTCTGACGTGCTTCACTTTACTACTGATGTGTGTTTCTTTGCTTTTATCACAGTGCTGGAAATCTGAGTTCAGTTCCCTCATGCTTGGGCAGAAACATCTTCCCCACTGGGCCATCTCCACAGCCCTCTTTTAAAAAATCCTGACACTGACATTTACATTTTATAAAAAAACTAGCACAGAAGTCGTGGGTTTTTAAATGTTCTTAGAAACAGAGTGTGGCCCACCTACAATGAACCTGAGGGTTCTTGTCCTTGCAGGCCCTCCCTTGCCTCCTGGCACGTTTATAGTACGAATGAATCTCAGGGGAGCACAAGACTATAATTGAACCAGAATACTCCCTTCATATGTAGCCTTGTGTTGAGCACGTGCTCTGCAGAAAATAGAGAAAGGGGGTTAACCTGTAGAAATGTATCACAGATCTATTTCAGTGGGTTTCCATGGAGACTAAAAATTACTTATTTGCAAATCTGGTTACTGATGTTGAAATCAGTGCTTCTGTTCCTTGTAGTGAAATCTTAATATTTGTTTAAAATACTATACTACATTCTATAAAAACATAATACACATTCACAGCTGAGCCATGTAACTGCCTAGTAGCAGGTCATTAGCTCCGAACTTTGAGCTTAGGAAAATGACTACATCTCAAATTACAGCTATTTCAGGAAGTATCTTTAATGTATTTAATTTAGGTACAGTACTTTTTCTATAAGTGTGAATAATGTATTCGTATATATTTAAGTTTATGAATCTTAAAGTATGCTTTTGTTGTAAAATCATAGTGTGCTTTTCATTGATAAGTTTATAGTGATGAAATTTACAGTGTACATTTCTAATTTATTTTAGAGTTGTTTTTCTGAATCCTACTGATTATTACAATTTTGTCCTATAAAGAATCTACTAGTATGGTAAAGGCACAAAACAGGATTGAGATAATAAGCCTCTTAGTGCTAGTTATTTCAATAACTTCTTATATTCTGACCTCTTAGTCTCTTAGTGAATGAATAGTGAAAGTCTTTCACCAGCCTCGTGTTTCAGAGTTATTGAGAGGACTCACTTGTCCTAGTGAAATGCTAGAGACATGCCAATGTGGTTAACAGTGGGATTTGCTAGCATTTTCAATAGTAGAGTAAAATGGAAAAAAAAAAAATCTTAGTACTTTTAAATACTTTCTGAGTGGTTTGTTGCAGTTTTTCAGACTGAATTCAAGATGTTTAAATGCTTAGAAATAGAAATCAGTTGCAATAGACAAATTTAATTTCAAAATTTTATAAATATTGTTTTTTGCTTTTTCAGGCAACTGTTTTATTTTCTTACTTATACATAGTATTCTTAAAGCTTTTTAAATTCTATTATTCTTCATTAAAACAATGAAGTTGTACTATGTAGTTTACATAATATCTTTATGCATGTTGTTGCTAACATTTAAATATTTAAAACAATTAAATAATCTTAACCCAAAAAAAGAATAGAAATTTAAGTTCTCAGTTTTTTGTGCAAATTTTATTTTTTCAATTTTGAACTAATTATAAATTGTTATAGTATATTTCTAAATAATATACTTCCAAAAAAAAGTTCATTATCCATTTTGTTACAATTTTATATATTAAGTACAATATAGATAAGTAATCTCAATACTTCATTACTAATGTCTAGGGAAACAATTATAGGTTTCTCTCTCCTTTTTTTTT